AGCACAGGCATCCACATCTCCAGACAACAGCTGTGTTGTGAGATGCTATCAGCCAGTGCAGAGCCCCAGGAATCTGGGAAAACCTGTGTGTGCCTGGGCAGGGTTGGTTATTGCAGAAACACCTGAGTCAGCTTCCTTTCTCCCTAGGACCATCCCACAGCCTTCCTGCTCCTTGCTTTTCTCCTTCTCTCCGATCTCCACAAAAAATTGCATGTTGTTGAGTTTCCTGGGCCATCTATCCTCACTCATTTCTGCCTGGGAGTATTACCTGCAGCCCTATGCCTAGACCACTCTGTAAGACAGAGCTTCCTCTCTCTGCTTCTGAATGGGAAATGGGACTGCTGGCAAAGAAGGGCAAAGTTGGAACGTCGTGAAGGGTGAAAACCTTCAGCCAAGGCACTGGAGCTAAACTGCAGAGCCTACTGGAGAAGATGAGCTGAAAAGAGAAGATGTAGTTTGATAATGATATCAAAGAAGACAATATGGAAAAGATACTTCCTTCATTTAAGTTTTTTACAGGAGTGCCTTATATGTGCACAGCAATGAATGAAAGCTTTGAAAACTAAGTGTAGGTCTACCAAATATACAGAATTTAATGATCATTTATAACAGGAAATGTGAAACATTTTCTTAAAGCTCACATCATAATTATTGTTGTAACTATTGTCTCTTTGTGGAGAATGTTATAAGCAGCAGAGAAGAAGAGGGTCATATGATTAGACATCATTTGTACCTTTATTTTTATTGTTGTCACCATGCTGCCAGCAACATGAGTTATACTTGAATATCTCGCACAAAATAACTACTTACCTTTGTTTAGACTTTTTTAGACAAAGCTGCTGATCTCTTGATATAATTTTTATACACTTGGTAGTCAAATACATAATCAAGGATAGTTTAAAACATGCATATACAAGAGATGTGCAAGTCATTCAAAGCTGTGTACAAAAACTTGTGGTTAACACAAATTTACTTGTGATGGCACAGAATCTTTGTATGTATCTCATGTAACTGCAGTTTTTTTGTTCTCTTGCTGGAATCTTGAACACTGAGTTCTGCTTTACTGCCTAACCTAATTAATTCACACTAAACTGAACTGAATTTGTTAATGTTTTTGCTAGAGCTATTGAGCTCCCTACATCATTTCAGTGCTCTGGCTTTCCCACATCTGCCTCATTTACTCACTCTACAGTCCTCCGTGTTAAAAAAAAATAATATAATCTGGTTTTATTTGATCTATTTATCACGCCGGGACGATCACCAGATAACAAGTGAAAACCAAAATGAAGCAGGGACTAACGTCACAGGAGAAAAGATTGTCACCACCCGAGGGCGCTAAACCCTGAGAAACTAAATTGGCTATAAAAGGACACGGGAGAAAATGGATGATTTCACTGGAAGCACTCCGGAATTTACCAAGATGATGCAACTTCTTATCTTAACACTGTCAGTTAAGTGCCAGAACTGATAAGAGTGGCCTTACCCCAACCCTGCCCTATTCAGTAATCTGCTCTGTGAGTGCACCCACCAGCGCTGGACCCACCACAATTAAACGTTGAACCTCTCTCATGCTGTTTAGGAGCAGTTTAGCAAGATCAGTGAGACTTTATCCATGCAGACATGACGAGAGTCACGCCTCAGACACTGTTAGTGAACATATTCTGCACATATTCAGCCCTCCTTAAGAATCTACCAGCAGGAAAGATATTAATTCCTTCTCTTCCCCCAAAAGACATCAAACAAATTTTTTTTTCTTGTGGTCTTTTTTTTTTTTTTTTTTTTTTTTTTTTTTTTTTTTTTTTTTTTTTTTTTTTTTTTTTTTTTTTTTTGTGGGTTTCTTTGAATCGCAATTTTTAAAAAGGCTTTGATGGCAGCTGTAAACCGGGAAATCCAGTTATGGCAGCGTTAACTGCGGGATTACAGCCCTGAAATCTCTGTCTGTGCTCGAAAGGGGCTGCCGTTTTAGAGTCCCTTGATCTCCAGCAGCTCTCTCCGGGCTCCCAGAGCCACGTCCCCGGCTCGGTCTTTCCCCGAGGTCAGACCTAAGAGGCTCGGCTTAGCTGCGACCGCGCCCGTGCGGTTTTTCCCTGCCCCGGGGAGAGCGCACACGGAGGGTTTGGTGTGGGTTCGGCTATTGTCAACGTGGCCAAGAAAAACGTAGGTTTTAGCTTGTCGAGTCATCTGTTTGTTTAGACGCCGTAGGTGTTACAGCTGCCTGCGCTGCTTCCTGCAAACAGCTGACTGAAAAGTGATGAAGTAGGGAAAAAACGCAGTGAGTAATGACGAACTTTTGCATACTTTGTAAAACTTTTTTACTTTGAGAAGTGTTGGCGCTCTGCCGCCTTGAAGCACATCTCTTCATGGCCCCCTCTTTCCATTTCCTGATGGTTTTAGGGCTGCGCCGTAGCAGGCACAAAGAATCAGCCGTCTCCATACACAAATTCACTGCCCATTCCCATCGGCAAGCCTTGCTGTATTCCTGAGCGCCTGAGCCTGCTATTCCAGCAGCTGGGTTTCCCTCAGGAACTCTGTGTAGTGGGAGGAGTCAGATCTCAGCCTCTGAGTAATGAGCAGAAAAAAATGCTGTGATAACTGAATGGTAGTTTTGGGTAACATAATGCTGGACTTGGGTACCTAACTTCCATCTAAGTCCCACTTTCCCCTTCTAAGGCTGTTTGGTATCAGGCCCTCCTGATGTCTAAACAATTAACTTCTTTCCAAATTACACTATTACTTATACCCTAAAGGGCTAATCAAAAGGCAGGGAAATACGTTAGCTCTTCGACTGAAAAGCCTTAACAGCCTTTAACCAGTAGACAAAAGCACACTCCTGAAGACAGGGGAGGCAGCAACATTAATTTCTGGGACACAGCCCACACGTGCTGAAATCTCACAACGCAGCAAACATCCACAGGGTTGTTCAGCCATCAGAGGAGCAGGAGGAGGCTGAGGAGGCTGGGAAGTCTCCTGTCTCTGTTTCAAACTCATGTTTAGTTATTTCTGACTTGTGTTTACAGTCTGATTTGAAAACTTACTAAAACCCTGAATATATACATACATATAAAACCTTTTTAAACAAGAGGAGTGTACACAATACACTTCAATAGCAGAAAGCTGGTGCCCCTTCAGAGACATCCACGAATATATACGTTTATTCACTGCTAGCAATTTTTGGTGGTGCTTCCTGCCTTTACCCACAGTCTTCTAGGTATTTTTATTATTTTTTTAGGTTTATGTTTATACTGTATTAGAAACAGTGTTTGAACTCCAGACCACTAAATACAGAAATATTATGGTGTACCTGGTTACTCTATTAATATTTCAGAAATAAAACGGTCCTGCCATTGGGTGGTTCCCCATCTCCTCCTTTATTTTGGCAGTACCTGTTGTTTGCAGTGATTATGGAACTGAAAGCCCAGGAATGACCAAGAAAAAAAAAAAAAAAAAAAAGATCAGTCAATTTAACGGGTTGACATAAGTCTTGCATCACTTTTACTACTGATCAGCCGTGAAATTGGAAAGTGGGAGGGAAAAAGATGAGTGCCCTTTGAAAGGAGTGTGGTCCTAGATCAGTTGGGCAAACTGTTGAAACCACCGAGCCAGACAATGGCTGCTGAAACTCTGAATGCATAAGAAAATTCAGTGCTGGGTATTGCATGGACCTCCTGTGCTCCTCCACGGATCATTCTGGGAGAGCATCGTCCCGTCCCAACCCCACCACAGGCCACTGTGTAATTTGCACAAACTGGACACACCATCAGCCTGTGAAATTACAGAGGTCTGTAAAATCTTCTTTGGCATTCTGGCTGAGGTACTTGCCGAGTTTTAGGTACTGCTGGGTTTGCTGCCGGGTGGAGCTGGGAAGAGGGAGCGTGTAATTAGGAGGCAAAACCCAGCAACGACCTCTCCAGCTCTTGCTGTTTCTGGCTCTTGTTGAATAGCAAATCTAATTGCATCGCAACTCTAATTGCATATTCCATGGGCATAAAAGCATTTATCCAAGATACCTAGTGCTATGAGGAAATTAAAGGCTTAGAAAGTGCAGCTTTTAAACTGAACGTTGTGACCTGGTGCACTGTACGCAGTCACAAGCTGTTTGAAGGCATGCTTTGGTGTGCCAAGCCCATCCTCTTTGTTCCCACCATCCTGCATCGTGATATTAAACCCCAAACTAAATATTTTAGCCTTTGGCAAGCAACCAGATACATGCTTAGGTCTTGCTCTTGACTAAAAATACACTTCTTGAAGCAGTAAGGCTCCACAAATAAAGGCTTAGTATGAAAACATGCCCAGAAACTCAACTGACTGACTTTGAATTTTTATTAAGAACTCCTGTAATGCAGCTGCTTGTTGTGTTACAGTTGCCCAAGTAACAGAACTCCCCACCAGTTTGGTGCATGAACTCGGGCAATAAAGGCTGAATGTACAAAAAAGTTAACCTGAGAGGCCTGAGATCATATTAATGTACAAACCCATATATTAAATGCATGTCTACTGAGCACAGAGACTGTTGGGAACCGTCTCTGAAGGCAGCGATGAGGAGCCAGGGCCGTGTGATGCATGGCACAATGGTACAGCTGCGGGAGCAGCTGCCAGCGGAGCCCCACGGCTTAAATTCCTTTTACAACATGGCTTTTACGGGGGGCTACCTTTTCCCTGCGTGACGATCGCGCTGTTGACAACAGAGGGATGCTTCAGATATCGACGAGCACAGCGCGCCGGGGAAGGAGGGAGGGAGGGAAGCAGGGAGGGAGCGGAGGGGGCGCACAAGGAGCTGGGAGGGGACACACAAGCCGAGGGCACAGCACGGATATAAACACAGCTCTCAGGAACGTGGTCTGATTTTGGTGGGGGGGGGGGGGCTTTGTTCCGTGCAGGGCCTGGCCCTGGGGCGGGACCCCATCCCGGATCGGATGGGATGGGATGGGAGCCGCCCGGCCGGGGTTCGCCCTCCTGGCCCGGCCCCGCTCCGCCTCCCCGGGCAGTGCGCATGTATTGAGGCGGCCCAGCCCCTGAGTCACCCGCTCCGCTGCTCAGCCGCTCCCGGCACGGGCAGGAAAAGGCGGCCACCATGAACCGCCTGGGCAAGAGGGGCAATGAGACCCTCATCGAGATGTCGCTGTCGGCGGACGGTGAGCGGTGGTGGCGGGGGGACGGGGAGGACGGGGGAGAGGGGGGGAGCGAGGGGGTCGCTGATGGGCTCCGCCTCTGTCCCCCCCCGGGACAGGGCTGGGCTGGGCTGGGCTGGGCTGGGCTGGGCTGAGCTTCCTGCCGGGGGTGACTCGGTTCCCCCCGGAGGCATCGGAATTTGGGGCGGTGCGGGGGGATTTTGGGGCGCTCTGGTTCCTCCCCGGGGTCTGCAGGCCGGCGATGGTGAGGTGGGGCTGATCCCAGAGGGGAGGGGGTGATTCCTGATCCCCTCCTGCGTCGGGGTTTTGATCCTCCGGCTTCCACTGAGCGCAGCAGAGCCACGTTTCCATGAGCCCGGATCAAACTGTGGTTAGATCTTTCATAAACCCCAGATAAACCTTGAAAACCTTGGAGGTTTCTTGCATCAGCACCCCCCGCCCAGAACAATGAGAAACCCTTTGGTTTTTATCCTAAAGCGCGCCGCAGATGCACAGGTCCCTCTCTGCCTGATGGCAAACTTTCATCCTCCCCCGGGGCACCACCTGGGATCAGGTGCCGGCTCCCAGGAGCTGAGGTTGCCACTACAAGGAGGTTCGGAGCAGGATGGGTCACCCCTCTCCTGGAGGGTGTGAGCAGCCCCCTCTCCCCTGCTGCCCCATCCCTGATGTGCTGGTGCCTGTCAGCTTTGGAAGGGACCCCTGCAGCGGTGACAGCCGGGCAGTGGGGTTTGTGTCGGGGCCTGGCTTTATTGCACTGGCCAGGTTACAGTTTCCACTTCATGTCGGTGTGGTATGCCATTACTTAAAATAAATGTGGTCGTATTAATGATTTTGTAAAATAACATGACGCAAGTGTGTATTTATCAGCACCTCACCTGGCAACGGGAGTCAACAGTCGGATGTAAGAGAGCACGCTGATGCTTTCAGCATGGGACTGGAGTTATTTAAAAACAAAATAAAAATGCTGACCTAGAAAAATTTCCCTTTTTCTGGGGGGGAATAATGCTTTGCCATCAGTCCTAGAAGTGAAGATCTTAAAGCAGGAAGGAACCACTAAGTTCCTGCGTTGGCTTCTTGGGTCGTGTGTCCTCCCTCAAAGCTCGATTACGCTGTCCCTTTCAGAAAAACGTATAATGCCACAATATATATTAATACCCCCAGCACTGGGGTCAAGTCATGATTTTCAAAATATTTGCCAGTCTTGTTTCATTGACCGGGAAAATTACCCAAAAGAAGCCCTTAGCAGTGCCAGCGAGGAGCGGAGTCCAGCTGCGGGGAAGGCAGGCGTCCACAGCAAGTGTCAGACGGAGGCTGGCCCTCCCTGGGAAAGCCTGGTGGAGCTGGCAGGCTTCTTAGGAACTGGAGCAGATGGGTGTTACAGCCTCTTGGCCAGCACTGCTATTCCAAAGGGGATGTGGGGAGGCCTGAGTCACTGCCCATCCCGCTGCCTGTGAGCGATGAAAAGTGCTAGGACTGAACTGCTCTAGCCAGGGGTTGTTCTTCTGAAGTGGCTCGAGAGTAAAAAATATTTACAGAGCACACAAAATATTTCCATTTAGGGAATGATTCTGTGAAGTCGTGTTTGTAAATGCAGTGTTCGGTTTCCCCGGGAGTGCCTTGTGGGTGTTTTCTAGACATAAATATTGAATATAAGGAGATTTGAGGGCTTTCAGTGAGCAAGGATGGTTAAGGAGGATTTACCATACAGTAGCACATAACTGTCCAGACAAAATCTTGTAACAGTTCAATTATTTCATTTTTTTTTTAACTAACAACTTTTCTGAAACAGAAACAAATTGAATATGAGTAGTCTTTTTAAATTTATGTAAATACCTTGCCCAAAAGCCTCTCAAGGTTAAAAGAAAATGAAGTCTTCCTCAAATTATGTCTCAGAAAACTTAACAGTGTGCATGTACTGCCAGCAGAACCTCTTGTAGATCCAAACATCTGCTTTGTGCCTTTAAGGAAAAGCCTCCTAAGGCTATACATGTCTAATGTGCATAAGCAGGGCCCATGTGAGTCAGTAGGAATAAGGCAGAAGAGAAGACGTCTGCCACTTATTTTTCTTACAGACATGTTTGTGTTTGGATAGTGTGCGTGTGTATTTAATTCTGGTTTACTACTGCTTTTCCTTAAACTTGAATGCTGGGAGACAGGTGGTGGGGATGAAAAACTGCGTGCCAGCAGCAGAAAGTTTGACTTGCAGAGTCTGTGTTCAGAGCCTGTGTGCCACAACTCCTACCTGGAAGGAAGTTTTCTGGCTTCCTGCTGAATTACATCAGCGTGAGGTAATAACTTCCACTTCTGTGTGTGTGATTGTGCTTTCTGTTGGGAGATGTGTGTCATTTACCTCAAATATTAAACTCTCGGAGAACTGAACCTGCAAAATTGGAATGTAAATATCAGAGGAAGAAGACCACAGTATGTTGCTAGGAATATTTATGTCTGTGTTGCCTTTCAGTGTTTGGTCTTTTTCCCAGCACTTTAATGGTACAGTAACTGTGTTGTGGGATATATCCCAAGACTGTGGATCTTCTGGAAGCTTGCAGTTGGCTCCATGCCACAATTTGAAATATCCTGCCTTTATACACATGGCTCCTCTTCAGAAACTTCCAGGAGGCTGGTTTGAGCTCGCAGTGCTCTAAGCCTTGTAAATTTGGTTTCTCATCTTGCTTGTGTCCCCTCTGAGAAAGGTGGAAAAACATGAGGAAAAGCCAACGGTATGACTTGCAAACAGCGCTTGTGCCAGAGTGTTGGCATCATGTAGTGCCTCAACGTTCAGGGCCAAATATTGCTGCCATTTAGTAGAATGAGACTTCACTTATTTGATCAGGATTATTATGATTCATACTAATAACATAAAATACAGGCCTGTGCTCAGAACTACATCTGTCTCTAATTACTGGCGCAATGTATGGAGTAATTTCTGATCTATTTGTGGAAACGCTGAGTGGGGTATCGTGTTCCCGCAGGGCTAAACCCAGGGGTTTGTTAACGGGAAAGCTGTTTGACAGATTATTCCTAGGTAATGAAATAAAAGCTCCAAGAGACTTGTACGCAGCTCAGAATATAAAAAGGCGGGGGAGAAAATACTCTTGGACCAAGCAGTGTGTAGTTTCTGAGTGGAATTTCTTTGCTGGCTGCTTGTGAGTCACCGCGGGGGCCCAGCGTAAATAAATACAGGTTGGTTATTGGAAGGGAAACCTCCCTGTAGCAGAAAACTCCTGATTGTAATAGGAAAACTCGCTCTTGGAAAACAGTTATTTTAGGTGAGAACCCTGCATATGAGGTTAAACTCACTCCCTGTAGCCTGGTGAGCAGCAAAGGAGGGATTAAGTCCCCCGTGTGCCGTCTAAGCCCAGTAGCAATTATGTGGGTTGTTTGGGCCACGCTTTGGGAAGCTGGGAAATACAGCTGGATTCACAGAATCCTTATGGTTGGAAAAGACCTCTGAGCTCCCTCAGGGACAGAACTGAGTGATGGTCCTGCTATCACAGGTGAAGGTGTTTTACCCTCTGTATAATGAGGGGTCCACAACTTCAACTTTTTGCTCAGAAAACGAGGGGAAAATCATCTGCAGACGTCTCCCCCTCACAACAGTTCCTGGAGGAATGCATGGTTCCAGCTGGGGGCAGAGGTCCTGGGCTGTGAATGCCAAATAAATGCCGAGAAAGCCACCAAAATGCCTTCTGGTGTAAGGCAGAGTGATGTTCTCTCAGTGTTCCCCTCTCCATCAGTTTGCTACTCAGATACTGCCTGGTGTGCTGTGCTGTTCTGAGGTGTTCCCTGCAGAAATGAAATAACTACCATAAAAAAGGATGTGCACTATAACCTCTGTGTACAAAGGCTTGATAATTACTGTGATACAAGCAAACACTAGGATAAGACACAAGGGCACTGCTGAGAGCTGTTGGCAGATAATTTGTAAAAAAAAAAAAAAAAACCCCAAAAAAAAAAAAAAAAAAAAAAAAAAAAAACAAACAACCAAAAAACTCAAATAACCAACCTATTAAACCCAGTACTGTTGTCTTCATGTTCGGTGTTTGTAAACTAATGGGTTGCACGTGGAGGAGACAAACAGTCATCCAACGTAAACATGTAATTAAGAAGGTAGAGGTAATGTAAAAATGTGGTCAGATGTTAACAGGCAAGGTCATAACGCAGTGAAATTCTCCAGGGTTATTTTTTTTTTACTGCCACCTGGGGTTCGAACCAAAGAGCAGTGTAATTACCGGGTTGTGATATGTTATCTAGCAGTAATTTCATTATATTTGGTGATAGCTTTTCACCTGCACGTGTTTGTAAATGCACAGAGCGGGAGGAAGATCCAGGTGTGGCATTTCTTGGGATAGTTCTTGCAATTATAACATAATTATGGAAGGATTTTGAGGCGTTTGTTTGCTGTGTACCAAAGCTGAGCAGCATGTCAGGAATTATTTATATATTCAACATAGCGTGACATCTGTTGAAACAATTACTACATTTTGTGTTACATTAAACTTCATGTTTGGGAGGAGCTGATTCTAGTTTGGGACTTGGATTATACTTCAGAGATGTGTGATTTTCATTGAAACCTGTGGCTGTTAAAGCTAGGGTGTTCTTGTCTCCATTCTCAGCGAGGCAGTGAAGTTCCAAACGTTTTTTTTTTTAGGAAGTGAGTGTATCTTTGTGTGAAGTGCAGTCTTGTAACTGGAAATCCCAAGTGATTCTCTTGTCTTCTTTACCCAGCTCCCAAGGGTAAATATGAAATTTGAGGCCTTTGGCAGGGCAGCAGAACCCCAGCAAGCCACATGGGCAGGGCTTGGGAGGCACACGGCTGGCCTCTCATTTTCTGCACCAGCCCTAAATTAGAAAGGGTCCTGTGGTTTTGTTATTCCAAGTTTTCCTAACTGTTGGGTAGGAGATCAGAAAGTCTGTGTTGCTGCAGTTTATAGCATGCTAGAATATACCGTGCTAGCAAGTAATGGCTAGCAGATGTGGGTTTGAGGCCACTGGTACTTGGA